CTTTCGCGCAAAGTTCCAAGAGCTTTCGCTAGTAGCGTTGACAGGGCTTTCCCAAAAAATGTGTTCAACACAAGTAAACGCGTCTTATGCACCTCCATGTATGAAATCAAAAGGAACTGTGTGCATTGGGTTCACGTGTTACATAGTTCCTTTTAGCCTAAATGCGTATAATTTACCATATTATATTGGAAATAGCTCCGATAGAGGCTCCTTTGAAAAGTAGAGGAAAAATAATATTATTTTGACTCGTAGATCACATTTCTGCAGTTAAGTGGTTAAATCCTTGGACATCCTGTAGGTTAGTTACGCAGATTTTATTGTTACAGTTTCCTAGGGAGCATTTTTTTTCATACGACCTTTCGCCACTTTAGCACGTCAGCTTTATTTATGTGTACTTTACGACAAGGCGTCGCCAATAAAAGCTCTGGAACTATTACCTTCGAGTGTATAAGATGTGCGTAAACATAATGAAAATTGTTTCAGAATTGAAGTAAGGTGCCAATGTGCTGTAGGCAAAAGTTTTACAATACCACAGCCTTTGTATCGTAATAAAATTAATACTAACTGTCATGCTAAGAAAGAACGTATGAACATTCGAGAGTTAACGAATTTCCCCGAGTAAAATCTTTATTTTTCAGGAAAATTATGCATATTTTTCCTTGAACTTTCTTGAACTTATCACCTTATCATTATCAGTCGAAACCAGAGACAACGAAACAGACGAAGGGAATGTCGTCAAAACAATAATAATGTTGTTGTTGTTGTTGTTGTTTGGAGGACTCCGTGACGTAGTATTTGAACGATTCTTCCCGGGAGAACGCGCGTTGTATGAAATGTGGCGCGGCGGCACGAGTTATGTGTTATTGGAATTAATGCCGAGTTATGTGCTTTGAGTTCTACGTTTTTAGGTGACTTCCAGATTTTTTTCGATTGAAATATTTTGATAGTAGGTAAAGGGCATCTACTACACTTCATTTCTGCAGCTAACTCAAAACCGCCAAAAATCGAGTTATGTGATTACCGACTTTCACTGTCGACTTATTTTTTCTCCATCAATTTAAATGAGAACAATCAATGCAGAGTGTGCAAACATTTCAAAATCATGAGTTAAAAAACGCTGACTATGCGATTATAAATATTGAAGCCTAAGAGAGCGGAGCGGCGTGCTGCCAGCGCGAGAGGCTNCTCAGTGCACTTCATTTCTGCAGCTAACTCAAAACCGCCAAAAATCGAGTTATGTGATTACCGACTTTCACTGTCGACTTATTTTTTCTCCATCAATTTAAATGAGAACAATCAATGCAGAGTGTGCAAACATTTCAAAATCATGAGTTAAAAAACGCTGACTATGCGATTATAAATATTGAAGCCTAAGAGAGCGGAGCGGCGTGCTGCCAGCGCGAGAGGCTCACTGGCGCCTACAAACCTAAGTGGATACTTCACGCATTGCACAATGCTTGAAGTATCCACTTAGGTTTGTAGGCGTCAATGCGGGCTGGCCGCCCGAAGCAACTATTTCACAACAGAGCTGTTGCATAGTATTATATGAAATTGAACGTTTTAAGAATGACAGGCATCCTCCCTTCCCAGGATCTTTCCTCACAATATAAATCAAGATACTTATCGTACACTGGAAAAATCTAAGAGCCTTTAGCTGAGGCAATATTGAGGTTTATCCGGTTCAGGTATACAACAAGGTGGGAAAATCTTGAAAGATAATTAAGTCCTGTTACACCAAAGAGGTGTAGAGAGTTTTAGTGAATTTTGTCTCATGGAATTGAGGCTCCCCCATTTTTACCAAAACTCTCAACTATTTATCATTCTCCGTTGGACGAAACATACAAAACAAAAAAACAAGCAAATCCTCATTCCTCCAAGACATTTTAAATTTTCATCCAAAAACGTCGTGAGCAATTGTCGTTTGTATTTACATGTGGGCCAAAACTCCCGTGCCGAAAAAACGTGTGGACGTAAATTACCGGAAAAAACAGGTGCGCGGACAAAAAAATCGTTGACGAAATGTCCTATAACCGACGGATCTCATTATTTTTAGCTAATCTACAAGAATCAAGCATCAAAACACACTTCTGTGGCCAGCACAACCCATCGAAGTGAGAGGTAATTTGTATGCTTACTGTTAGGATATACATATGGTTATTCAAAGATCTTTTCTCTATAGTTTCAGCAGCTCTAGCTATGTAACAGTATAACATCAGTTAATAGCGTGCTCGGGTCATCACACCACTGACGTCGGGTGCAAATCAATTTCCCTGGAATCCCTGGGAAGCATATAGTCTTATGAACAATACGGCTCATTAAAGAAGTAGATCTGCGTCCTAAAGTTAAAGAGCCATGGTGTGTGGTCTCTATTGCCGAATTTATCTCACCACTCTCCGCTTACTAAGTACTAATGATTTGCTACGCAATTCAGAAATCAACGTCACTAGCTAAAGTGACTAGCAGGCTACTTTGCTAAGTGACAGCTAATTTAAAGCCAAAAACTAAATTTCGACCATGCATTCCTATGAAAACCTAAAAACCCTCGCAAGATTTCTCGGAAATCCAAGCGGTAAAGTGAGTCGTAGAGGGTTTTTCTGACCCGTCTGAGCTAATTTCAGCACCGTGGAAAACACTTCGCAGAAAAATCAGACGCAATTGCCTCATCAAATCTGCCAATCACACTTTTTTTTGGTGAAATCGGGATCTAATTTCTTGCGTTACTCCATTACGTCTACGCTTAAAAAAATTGCAGTATGTAAGATCGAAAGGGCAAAACCATTAGCGTCACTTGTCAGGGATTGAAAATACGTCCAAAATTAGGGTTTGATTTCCGGAGGAGGGTATAAAAGTGAGCCTCAAGATTGGAGCTTTCCAAGTCGAATTTGATCATGGGCGCCAAGATCAAAGTAGTGTTCTTCGCAACGCTAGCCGTTCTTTTGTTCCAGGTAGTTCTAATTTTTTTAAGTTTCTGGTTACGGTTTTCTTTGTGGAAAGCGTCTCTTCTATCTCCCCACTGGAAAAAAGAACACATAGGATCTAGAGTCCAGACTCTTGAAAACATCGACAAGAAAAAGTACTCTAGATTTAATCAGAATCTAGCTTAAATCAAGAACCAAGCCTCTAATTTAAGCGGATTTTGTTTTGATTCAAGCATAAATCCGATTGAATCAAGAGTATTTTTTCTTGTCAATGTTTTCATGAGTCTGGACCCTGGATCCAATGTGGTTTTTTCCAGTGCTTCAGTGGCGTAGCGTGCTTTGCGATATATCGATTGATATTCCATATAAACCTGTGGGAAAGGATCAATAGATAGGGTGTCCGCAGCGAACACCATAATCATTACTACAAATCTTACTATAGCTTCAAATGGGAAAAATTTCGATAATCGATGATTCACGCCCTGCCACTGATCTCCTTTCTCTTATTTCGTCGTACCTCTGACGTAAAGGCGTATTTCTATCACCATTTGATCCCCTTTAAGCGTGGAGCTGTACAGAAAATAGGGCTCTAGTTGACATTAAGATAAACTCATACCTCTGAGGAGCGACGATTTGTCCCACAGATTTGAAAACTCCCAATTAAAACGATTTCAAATTGTCTGTGCTCTTTTTTCTTATTATTCGCAGGGAAAGCAACATGCGAATGTTTTTTGTGTCTTACCCTCTTCACTTGCACTCTATCCTAGCTCTTCACAGCAGTTTCGGTTACATCACTGTATGTCTTAATAACAAAATAGAATTTTGTGGCAAACTCTCGTGATTCTTAAGATCGGAACGGTCGGTTGCCGGCTATTTCCAAAGCGGAATTCCACGAATTTTAAAAATTTCTTCGAAAAGTCGCATTACTGAGGATGACTTCTTATCTCTCATACGCTTTACTTCTAGGCCTTTTAAGTAATACACTGTTGGAATTGATAAGGGGTTGCCTGCTTATTCTGCAATGTCGGTCCCTACCGTATGGAATGGCAAGGTTGGGATTACATGCGGAATTAGGAGTTCCTTAACATTATTCGGCATGCATTTTTTGTTACCAACCCAGAAGAATGTAACGAGCTTTTCAATATCTTTGACATAAGTTGGCCAAAATTTAATTGATTTAACTTCCTCTACAGTTTTATTTATTCTTAAGTAAGCATCCCCGTGCAAAAGATCCAAGTAATGAGGCTGTAATTTAGCAGGAATTATAACCTACTTGTTTGTCATTCTGCCATCCACAGCAAATGCATCGAAACTCCATCAATGATTAGCATTATCTCCGTATAGACTGTCCTATTGCGGGAAAATCTGGTCACTATGATGCTTCATTTTGTCAATTGGAGTCCTCAGTGATTTACGATACTACCGTTCCTCCAGAATTATGACGGCTTACTGATGTTTCTTTGGAAAGTGCGCCAATGTTCTTTTATCGTTCTGTAAGAGATCTCCTTTTTTCCAAAGAAGGTGAATTTTGACGAGCATTTGCTTTCGAAACTGTGTTCTCTATTTTATCGGAAGATAGTCCGAAATTTTCTTACTGAAATGTGTGTCTCCATAGGCAGCTAGTTGCTCCGTACTCCCTCGAAATTCCGACGAAGATGAACAGGTCCGAAAAGATCTCGACACCTTATTGACGCATCAAGAAGAAACTTTGGAGAGCATCGATTTGCATTTGAAAGACGGTTTTGACTTCATCGAATCAGCAAGGAAAGACATCAAGTCCGCCAACAGCTGCGATGAAGGTATAAAATAGCAGGATTCCATTAAAAAAATTCTATGTTAAGAATGAAGGAGAGAAACATATTTAAAATCAACTAAGTACTTTACTACAGGAGTAAACGTCTTGATAGGCGGACATTCTCAACAGAGTAGTAATTAATCATACAACTGTGAAAGTAATTCTATTAATCAATTTTTAATATCTAGTAATGGATTTTCATTAGTGAATTCATTGAATTTCATTCGTAAACAACATACAACAGTTGAGCATACGGTGACTGCAGAAATCTATCAAACCTCGATGCATGCTATCAAAATACGACGAGAAACAGAAAAACGAATGCCAAGTCAGCGAATCCCACGAAAAGAAGAGACAGGTCAGTAACGTCTCTCAATAAGATCAAAGTAATACTCGATAAAAATCAGCTCAGGGTATTACGAGGCCGTTCGTAAAATACGTGACGCTCCAAGGTTGGGAGGAGGGTCAAGGATAGCGTTACGCTTTTTTTTCGTTTTGTCGATTCCCGCAGAAAGGAGAGATAGGTCAGCAACCTTACTCAATGAGATCATTTTGGAATTTGATATAAATCAATTAAGTCTATTGTATTACGGAATCGTATTTTTAACCCATCTTAAGGACTGTTCCTGAGAAAAAAACTTCCGTTATTAGAAGCGAATGTACGGTGTTCAATATCGGCCGCATTCTTCGGTTTACACGACCGGATCCTCAGTTCTTTCAACAAAGCATTCAAACCGAACGAAATTAACGCAAAAGCTCGGTTGCATGAACTGAGGTTACGGTTCCCAGAACTAGGAGAGCGGTCGGATGAACCGAACAATGCGGCCGATATTGAACCCTATACTTCCGGTTCACATGACCGAACTTTTTTTCTTAGTATCATATCTCGTCACGTATCTATAGATAAGTGACGATATGGTTGAGAGAAAAGTCGAGGATAGCGTTGCGCTTTTTCCTTTTTTCGTGAAAGACAGGGATCCACGTCACAAAGGGAAGAGAGCGTTACAAAATTCGAAATTTAGAATTACTTTAATAATGAACGGACCCTCACCAATTAAGTGCGATAAAACTTGGCGTGGCCCAAGCACCGATAAAAAACCTGAAATAACCTTCAAAATTTCTAAAATCGCAGTTTTCTCGATTTTTGAAGTCCTCCTTCTCGCAAATTAAGTCGTCGGTATATCTTACCGTCCGTGACAGAACAAGATAGATAGAAATTGATCAACGCTACTTTTCGCATGCGGGTGATTGATGAGTAACTTGATGAGCGAAAAACCAAGTAAAATTCGCTTGACGAATGTCGGATTGAGCATTTTGCCGCGCAAGTTTTTGCAAAATAGGTAAGGATCGCGAAAAACTTGCTTAGCTCTTAAGTCATCATTATTTCAGTCTCAGCGTTAACTTCTGGAAGTAGCTCTTACACCTCTGGGAAGATAGCAATGTGTAGTCTTTAAAATACATGGCTTCCGGTGCTAGAGCTGTGGCGGGAAATTCGAATTTCAACATCTTTGCTGTCTTTGCTGATTGAGCACGGGGGGGAATTACATGTGCAGCCGCACGCGGTGCACTATGGTCCAAAACTCAAGAATAGGAAGAAATAAAGCGGATAATGACTGGAAGATCACAAGAGCTTCGTTGCTAATGTTCTTTAAGTCGCTAATTTCGAAATTGATGTCAATTTGCCAAGATTCGAACACCTATTAATTGTGTGCAAGTTTATGGCACGCTGCGGCGCGGCGCGGAGTGCTGCCAGCTCGAAACGCGAACTGACGCCTACAAACCTAAAGGGATACTTCAAGCATTGCGCAATGCGTGAAGTAGCCCCTTACAAACCTAAGCAGATACTTCAAGCATTGCGCAATGCGTGAAGTAGCCCCTTACAAACCTAAGCAGATACTTCAAGCATTGCGCAATGCGTGAAGTAGCCCTTTAGGTTTGTAGGTATCAGTGCGCGTTTATCGCTGGCAGCACGCCGCCGCGCCGCGGCTCTTCAGGCGGCGGGCGGATGGTGAACGATTTATTTCGGGGACAGCTCCCTGGCGGTGAAACTAGTATAACGTGTAAGCAAAATTGTTTATTTTATTTATTTTTTAATTTTTGATTCATAAAATTACACACTGGTCGTGTGAAGTAATCGGTGAACTCATAACGCTAGATGTAGTGTAATAATGAAAGGCGGTTCGTGCGCCATGTGCGCTGCAGACGGCGCAGGGCGGCTCATGAAATTCTCCCCTGTGCTCTGTCGTGTCTTTGCCGAAAACAAATTTGAAAGTCTGCTTCTGATATAATTAACATACAGTCACCGCACTAAAAGCTCATAGATTTTCGTTAATAAAGAATTTGCTTGCACAGATGTTTTTCGTTTTTATCAACAGCAGACCGTCGCGTCCTATTTCTTTTTTGCCAAGATTGGAAAGTCGTCAAAATTCAAATTGCGCGCCACAAATCTAGCGACGGGAGCCAAAAGCAAAGGTCTGTCCGGAAGTGTTGGGAAAAGCATACGTACGATTTACGTACGTTAGTTTTTTCCAACACACAAATGCGCGGTAATGCGTAATTTAAGCGGTCATTCTCTCGGAGACTTAATCACCAAGAATGGATCCACAAGAAAAACGGTAATCATACCATCTTAATTGACTCGTTTTAGATCTTAGAGCTCAAAATATTAAAGCAGTTGATGAAATTTTTTATTAATCTGTGATTTAAAATGGAGCGTCTAATGCAGTTTCTACTGCTTTTCTTGTATTTTAAATTTGGCGCATATGTTTTTTTGAGAATGACTGATTCAATTTTATCGAGCACCCTGGAAAAAAAAATACATTGAATTTAGAGTCCAGACTCTTAAAAACATCGACAAGAAAAAATACTCTTGATTCAATCAGATTTAAGCTTCAATCAAGAACCAAGCCTCTTAATTTGAGCAGATTTCTTTTTGATTTAAGCAAAAATCTGATTGAACAAGAGTCCATTTTCTTGTCAATGTTTTCAAGAGTCTGGACTCTAGATCCAATGTGTTTTTTTTCTAATGCACTCAGTACGGAAGGTGACGGCATTCTCTTAGAGATGTCCTTTTCCATCCTAGGTTCCGTTGGAGACAGGCGATTCGGAGTGCAATCTGAGCAAGGAGAAAGACCGAGCTTTGAAAAAGCTAGCCAGGGCCAGAGGTAATTACGAGGGTGATGTAAAGCGGAGTCGATGGGTATCCGTAAAGGCGTTCGACACCATCTACAACGGGCTCGCGATTTTGAAAAACGTGAACGTGGAATTGAGAGGAGGTCAGCACCGCCCCAAAACGGACCGCGAGGCTCAGCAGATCGTCCGCGCAGCCCGAGATCTCTGGAATAACTTCGAATGTTTCGAAGACTGATCTGGTCCTTCGCGGAACCGCACACGTGGACTGTATTTGCAATGAGGAGCTATTATTTGGACGTATTTATGCTAAATCTAACCATGTACAAGAAGGAAAGAATCCTGATTTGAAATTTCTAGATTACACTCTTTTATTCATGCATTCTCATTACTTATATATTCTCGAACTTCGCCCATAATCCTAGCCTGGTGTCCTAAATTCCTGATATCATGGGACGGACAATAAGGAGAATGGAGATGTTGCATGTGTGAGGGATTTGCGATATGACTACTGATTTTCATGTAAAAGTTCGCGAGAAACACGATGGTGCCACTGGTTTTCTCTGAATTCAACTCCCAAGCTCAAAAAAAGCTCTCAATTTGAGGCCAAAATGGAGGGATATCCCACGCTATCCTGAGGGTCTACCTCTACACTCTACATCAAGACAAACTCTCCATGCAAAGATAGGGAGCAAATACAGTAGCAGTGATGCCGTGTTTTCAGTTTAAGAGTCCCCAAATAAAGTGGCAGCCCTGTCAAAGTATTTGCTCCCTCTCTTTGCCTGGAGAGTTTGTCTTTTTGTAGAGGGGGACTCTCAGGCTAGCGTGGGATATCCCCTCCATTTTGGCCTCAACTTGTGAGCTTTTTTTGAGCTTGGGAGTTGATTTCAGAGGGAACCAGTGGCACCATCGTGTTACTCGCGAACTTTTACACAAGAATCAACAGTCAAATCGCAAATTCCTCACACATGCAACATCTCCATTAGGCCACATCGCAATGAGAATAGTGAGTCCCTCGAAGCGGTTGAATGAAATGCGGTAGGAAATTGATTTTTGCGCAGAAATAACAGAAACAAACGCTGTATGTCGAAAGCCAACCTATCGAACGATGTCGAACGTGAGGAATTATCAGGACGAAGAGTGAAGTGAAAAGGGAAAAAGATAATTTGGGTCATCATCTTATTCCCTTAGCCCATATAATGTGCCTATTGGGTCGTTCACGACCCATCGCAGTTTTAAACTTTGAGTGTTAGTGTAAATTAGGGAATTTCATGTGGTCAACACAGGAAAATCCATGTCTGGAATATAGGCAACCCTACTTTATTTTTGTTTTGCCTCAATACGTTTTTACTCTTTATACTTAACGTCAAAAACAATAAGTAAATAAAAAATCAATTTAAAAAAAGGTTTTGGGCATATATAGGTTAGAGACAAAAAACCTTAAATTCCGTAAAAATACTTCTGTAATAACCGATATCTTTCCGATCCAAACTTTTGTGAAAATCTGGAATTTGGCAGAAAAAAGTCATATACATTGTTTTAAATTGTGTAACCTCAACATTTCTTGCTTAGCATTCGGTAACAGTCCAGGAATCATAGACAGGGAATGTGATGACTACGCCAGGTAATTTTTTTGACACAAAATTTCCTCTCAGCATCCCTAATGTAACATAATCAATCATAATGAAGAATCATTCAGAAAAAGTGCGAACATGCATCGAAAACTATTGTAATTGTGCAGCTTTCGATGCATTCATTTGTCAATTAGAGACTTGTATCTTGATTTGGCAGCCCTCCAAAATATTCTAATTTAATGAGTTAATTTTCCTACATATGTTTTGCGAAGTTCAGAGAATATTTCTCGAAGTAGAAGAACTGCAAAAGTGGAGTATCTGAGCTACGCACCACACGGGTACGCGTCCTTTTCCTTACGGTACTTCAAAATTCACTTCGGTATTTCAATGTCCCCCAAAAAATTTCCATTTTTGCACGTAACCTGTTTTTAAACAATTTGATTTATTCTTGTGATCCGATGATACTTCTACTTTGAAGCGACATTATCGTAACGCGAGTTTAGTTCAAGTTTTCAAACCGAAACCTCGAAAATTGAATCGTTGATGGTAACTTGGCGTCGTGGTTTGGGTAACTACTAACGAGAACGGTCATACATTATTAGGAGTGAAATACACGTGAAGAGGGCCCCACGCCGCACGCTAATTATTCCAACCTTTCGATATTCAGGCCAGGAACCTTGTCAGTCGTAGTTGGCAGTTATTTAAAATTGCATCTAAGGCACCATCCACACTGAGCCTTCAAAAGATGTGTATGTAGGACGAATGGCTGTGGACTACATTTTGCAATGAGGAACTACTTTTTCGGGGTCATTTCAAATTTTTTTTTTTTTTTTTTTTTTTTTTTTTTTTTTATTCAGTATTATATACAATTAAAATACAATACAACAATGTGTTCAGACTCATCGAGTCTTTTTACACTTAAATTTAACACTGTAAGTATACTAGAATAAGAAAGGCACTTTTTGGTGGTCTATTGACACTAATAAAAAGAAAAGACAATTTTAGAAGACTGAGAATATGGTGGTTAAAATTGTTAAGATATATGAGTAAATATGAGTCGTGGAAAAGAAGAGCTAAATAGAATGAGAATGTTACTGTACAAAGACAAAATTAGTAAAAAAAAAAAAATAAAAAAAAAGAAAATTTAAAAAAGGAACAGAATTGAGAAATTGGTAAAAAAGTGCTAAAAAACCTAACTATAAGAACTTGTACATAAATAAACTACTTTACTAGAAAATTTTTGTCTTTGTCATTGGGATATTCCCTTGCCGACATAGGTAGATGGGAACAGAGCCCTGAAGTTGATGGTGCTACTTAAATTTTGCGGAAGTCAGGTGTGCAAAGCTCATGTGGCTTCCTGATGATTTCAGATATGACGTTTGTGCTATTAGTTTTACTGTGCAGATAGGTGCTTTTGTGGATGTGTCAGAAATGGTAGTTCTTAATTGCCAGAAGCGGTTCGTTAGGATTAGGTATGGGTGTAGACTGTAGATTTTGAGCTTCGTAGAAGTATGAGTAGATACTGCTGGCCAAATCAGTGCATATTACATTGACTTTCGAGACTTTTTAAGAACATCTTTTTACGTGACAGTGCTACTAGGATAGATTCCCTCTTCCACGTAATGCTCGAACTTTAAAGCTGCATTAGTCCAAATCACGATAATATCACTTGTAGTGCCCATATGGGGAGAGTACGGACATGTCGAAATACGATTCTCTTAGGGTTCAAAAGGGCATTATACCCTCAAACGCGAAAAACACCGGAAAACACCTGTGTCATTATTCAGATTCCAATATCAAACCAAGATAGTAAAAATGAACACAAATGTTATGGGGAGAGTGCGGACATGTCGAAATATGATTCTCTTAGGGTCCAAAAGGGCGACATATCCTTAACCGCGAAAAACACCGGAGAAATTCCCCTGTCATTATTCAGATTCCAATATCAAACCAAGATGGTAAAAAATGACACACAAATGGACACAAATGAGCGTCCTTCCGCAAAAGTTAGTAAAATTCAAATACTAAGACAAAAATTTTCTGATTTTTGCATCAAATCTGAGGGAAAAACATTGTAATTTTCCGTCGAAAATTTCCCAAGATTCGAATAGTTAATACTTACGAGCACTTTACGAGGGGAAGTGTGGCAACACTGAAATGGAGTTACGTTCTCTCGTAAAGCCTGTGTCACACTATCCAAACTAGCCATCAAAATATCAAGGTCAGGTGTTGCGATTGGCTTATTCGATGGCTTGGATCAATCACAGCACCCTACCTTGAAATTTTGGTGGAGTATTTCGATACTGTGACACAGGCTCACGGGAAAAGACGTAATGCCACCAAACTGCGTCGCGTTTCACAGTGACGATCGAGAGGAAAGAAGGAGAGGATGAATCTGTCAACGTGTGTTGCGACACTGCGTCTTTTGTGTGAAGTTTTCGGTTTATTAAACTCCTTCATGACATGCCCCCACCAGTATTTTCGTTGTTAAACAAATGACCCCTCGTGAAGCTCGTTTATTGCAAATCGGATCTCGGGAGACGAGGGTGACTCGAGCCGCGTAAATATCGCACAGCCTGTTCCTAAATTAAATTCTCCAGGCTAGGTTACCAGTACAACGTGCGAACAACGTGACATGATTTTTTCTGCCTTTAGCGAATCTGTCAGTGTTTCAATTTTTGCTGCGGAATCATAAGTTAGCGATAAGTTGCTTTCTTGAAACGTTATGTTTTGGCGTGGTGGAAGTTCAGCCCTTATTTCGATGAACGATGATGAACAATTTATCAAATTTTTCTCTTTCAAAGTAGGCGACGTTAGAAAGCCTGGGATGGGGGGTTGTCCAGAAAACCGAGCGAGCAGCCCCTGTTCGTGGGCAACATGAGGAAAACTTTGAGCTTGCCTGGAAATATTCCTGGAAATATTGGCAAAATATATGGAAATATAAGGGTTTTTTCCTCACGCGGGAAATGATAAGAACAAAAAAACGAGTAAAACGTACCGATTTTTTCCATATTGCATTAATTTTTTATCCTGAACGCTTGACGTCCTTCCGGAATGTGAAAATGTTTTCAACAGAGGAAAAATTTCTGGGATAAGATTGTAAGTAAGTTTGAATCTGAGGAACTTCTTGCATCATTGTCTTTAGACACACTGGAAAAAAAAAACACATTGGATCTAGAGTCCAAACTATTAAAAACATCGACAAGAAAAAATGCTCTCGATTCAATCAGATTTAAGCTTAAATCAAGAACCAAGCTTCTTAATTTGAGCGGATTTCCTTTTGATTTAAGCTTAAATCTGCTTGAATCAATAGTCCTTTTTCTTGTCAATGTTTTCAAGAGTCTGGACTCAAGATCCAATGTGTTTTTTTTTTCAGTGTAGACTATGTAAGTACATTGTTCCTCTGATTGAGAATATTGGTAGGATAACACAAGCAGAAACATCTATTGGATTTTTATCTGCTTGTCTCGAATTAAATATATATCAGCGTTCGAGAAAATAAGTTTGGTTACGTTGATTACAAATTTTAAGTTTGGCAACGATGCTTTTTCATGAATTTTAGATAAAGGCGTCAATAATTGTGAGGGGGAGGGGTGGAAGCTGGTAAGCAGAGGAGCAGAGACATTTCAAGGTTACTGTCGTGAGCTCCGGCTATTTTTGTCGCTGTCAGAATCTCTCATTTTCAAGAACCAGACTAATTTTCCGTAGTGCCAATATTGTTTTAATAAGCGGTTGATTTTTAATACCAGCGTTTATTAGTTTGTTTACTTCATTATCTGCGGACTGAACCGTTGAAAATTCATTATAG